ATTTATTAATTTAGGTATAAAAAACCAAAGAATTGTAATAGCTATCTATGCAGGGCTATATTAGCCTTTTATGCTTAACTAAGCTTGCTTAGTTAGCCCCTCCCCCCCGGCTCGAGCCAACGGGTACTCCGTAATTTCACCAAGAATTCACCTTGGCACTCCTTCCCGTATTCCTCCCTCACCGAGATTTAAGCATCTCATACACAAAAATAGCCTCAAATTCCCCTCAGTTCCCCCGAGTTATGTGGAATTCTACCCCACGCGCTGTTACTCCAGCAAGGAATCTGATTCATGAGACTCCTCTCCAGGCTACAGCCAAGACCCCAATCCCATGTCTTGCAAAAGCTTCTCCTAAGCATCCCGGGTTTCCCCCGTGGGCCGCCAAGAATAAAAGAGGCATTTCTGAACCCCCAATTGCGAGGCTGGTCATTGGCGCGGAGATGGAACGACTGATAGTGGAGTGAGGGGATTTCGCTTACAGGCAGAAACCCCAGATGCAAAAACTCTTGGCTAGGTGAGAGTCGGCAGTTGAAGTGGTCGCCGACCAAGACCTGGGGAAGGGAGGGAAAATCACTCGCCAAGAGGAGCTGAGAGAAGATCATGCCATCTAAAATTGTAGTACAAATTCGGGAGGATATCTTGGAAATACTCGCTGTCTCTACAAACTCAGCGTGAGGAGTTGAGGCTGTAGTAAACCATCTCTATCATGAATATTCCCGCCGCGTTTTCAGCCTCCTTACGCGAGAATTACTCCAATTTTAACCATATCCGCCCTTGTCTCCGTTGACAGTAACATCAAGCTCACCCCACAGTATAACCGTTACCAACTTAGCTTTTCGCTTGGCTTTTCTCTTGGCCGTGAGATTTTACACAAGCCAAGCCTCTTAGCACCTTCTATTACAAGAAAATGATATCCCCCGTCATCTCTTCCCCGCAGTCTTGACGCAGCACCCTGTTTTGTGGAGTTTGGGGTTTGGATCAGGAAGTTTTGAGCTGGGTATAAAAACAGGGCGTTCTCAACAAACTTTTCATGCTCGGTAGACAGACTTTTCCTCTGTCCTCCTCCTCCTCTAGTGTGTTCTATCTGCTGCGGTAGTCTTTCATCATGTCTGACGAGAAACCAACTGTTAGTGGTGATGACCACAAAGAGATTGGCTCAAATCTCAACGACGCGCCCTCCATTGCGCAGGAGAAGGTGACGGATGCGTTTGCAGACATCAACCATGTTGCGCGTCTGGGCATGCCGAATGCAGCGGAGCTGGAGAAGAAGATTGTGAGAAAGCTGGACAGGTGGATGCTGCCTCAGCTTTGGATCTTGTACATGTTCAATTACCTGAACAGAACGAACATTGCTCAAGCGCGTTTGAACACGTTCAATGAGGATCTCAATCTTGGTGAGGGAGATTATCAGGTATGTGATATGAGAGTGGTGATGGATGTGGATGATGCTAACTTGATAGACTGCTGTTGCGGTTCTGACTGTTGGATACATGCTTGCTCAGCTGCCGTCCAACATGTTGATCACTCGTGTTCGACCTTCCATCTTTTTGCCCGTTGCTGCATTCATCTGGTCTGCCATCTCAGCCTTGACCGTTCTTTGCACCAGCGCTGGAGGTCTCTGGGGTGTTCAGTTCGTCCTCGGTATCGTCGAGGCTCCCCTCTTCCCCGGTGTACGTCCCCTCCCATCCCATACTTGACCCTTTTCACCACTAACATCTCTTAGGCCGTCTTCCTCATGTCTTGCTGGTACACCCGTCGAGAATTCGCTCTCCGTGTCGCCCTCCTATACTCCGGCCTTGTCCTCGCCCAAGCCTTCTCCGGGCTCATCGCAGCCGGTGTCTTTGCTGGTCTCGATGGACCAATGGGTCTCGCTGGTTGGAAGTGGCTCTTCATCATTGAAGGTGCTGCTAGTGGTTTCTTCGCTATCACTGCCTTCTTTGTCCTGCCTAACTACCCCGACTCTTCTACCGGTGGTGCTACCAGGTACATGACTGAGGATATGCGAAAGCTTGCTGCTGCGCGAATCCTCGATGATAGAGTTGAGTTCTCGGAAAAGTCGACCGTCATGCATGGACTCAAGCTTGCTGTTACCGATCTCAAGCTTTACATGTTCTTGTTCATGAACATCTTTATCACTTCATCATATGGCTTTAACAACTTCTTCCCCACCATTGTCAGAGGTCTTGGTATGCTCAATTCTCAATTTATTATTTGAAATCATCTAACGTCAGTAGGCTTTGGTCACAATGTTACCTCACTTCTCATGACTGCTCCTCCCTATGTCTTCGGAACTCTCTGCACCTTCTATGTGTCATGGGATTCTGACCGCAGAAAGGATCGAGGTCTTCACATCATCATTCCCCTCTCCTTCTCAGTCATTGGTTTCATTGTTACCGTCGCTACTGGCAACGCTGCAGTTCGATACGCCATGACCTTCCTCTACGCAGCTGGTTGCTTCTCCGCCAATACTTTGCAATACACTTGGGCTGTCTCAACGCTTGGTCAGACCCCCGAGAAGCGTGCCGCTGGTGGTGCCATTGTCAACATCTTCGGCCATCTGGGCAACGTCATCTCGCCCTACTTCTTCCCAGACAGAGATCAGCCTCGTTACACTATGGCTATGATCTTGCAGATCGTCTTTGCCAGTCTTGGTATTACACTTGCGTCTATCATCAAGTGGCATTTGACTAGGAAGAACAAGAAGATGAAGGCTGAAGCTGACCGTCTCGGTGTTGAATTCAACCCTTTCACCACTTGATCAACGCATGATACTAGGAACTAAGGCGATCAGAATCAAATCAGAAGTTAGAGAGGGAATAGGAATCCTTCTAATAAATACATGATATATGAATAGAAATACATTGCAGCTATGAGAGGCTGAAAACTCAAGACAACAGCTTCTTGCTTATGATGCTGGCTGGGATAAGGCGCTGTACTCTAGTTGTATGCACTGATCCGTCTATCAATCCTCATGAACATCTCCTCTCTCCACCCAACAAATGCAATGTGAGTTGCAGCCGGCCCAAGCACCGGTTGCGCTACCAATACTGCTAAAGAAGTCGTCAAAGCTTCCTTACTAGTGATGTATCCTAAGCGCCGCAGATCAAGCGTTCGGTAAAAACTATTGGCAAGAACAGAAACCGCGTTCAAGAACATATCGCGCTGCAGGAATACATGAATCTTGTCTGAAGGATCAGACGGAGATGCACCAGATACTAAGTATCTGATACTGCCGAAAACACCAGGAAAGCTGAGTCTTGGAGTTGATGCCGTGCGGTAAAGTGTATAAAAATGGACAAGTGCCGTAGCTGCGGTTCCCACCGCGTAAACAGATCTCAGTAGCGACTGAGTTTCGGCCTTTCGTTTCCTGTTGGAAACCTCTTTCGAGGTTTTCGGCCGAGGCCGAGTCACCACGTTTCCAATCCTCTGTCTGCGTAGAGCTGTTGAGAAACCAGCAGTAATGAGACCAACATAAACGGGGAATGGCTGCCAAAGCGCAGTAAACCCCTGCCAAGTTGCCTTGTTCTTGAAGGGCCAGAGCATCAGCGCAGTGGGCATGATGTATCCAAGGGCTATGCCGGGTACGAAAGACTCGAGCACTTCCTTGTCGATCGAACGGTCCGTTGTTGGAGTGACAGAGCCCTTGAAAATGCTCTCGCACACTGAAATTAAGTGATACAGAGGTGCAATGCGTCCGACCGCCTTTATTTGGTAGATTGTGCTAAAGATCGACGAACTAAATCGTAGCTTGGTCAGCTATTCTGTCACTAAGCTTTGTTGTTGCATGACTTACAAAGAAGTAAGAAGACCCTTTGAACCAACTCGATAGCTCTCCAAAGTCCAGTCGAGCGTAGTAGACAATAGCAATGGCGTAAAAGAAATCCACTGCAGGTTCGCCGCCATGTTCCCGGAAGCAAGAGGGACTCCAAACACAGCAACCAAGTGTGTCAAGATCTTGTCCAAGGTCACAAGCCCTGTGTAATGCTTCACCAGAGGCTCGCCGCCAAAAGTGGTAGGAATCTCCAATGGTCTAAGAATCTGTGTCGCGAGGCGGAATATCGCTGCCTGGCCTATAATCCCTAGACCTGTAGGAAGCCAGGTCCACGAAAGAGGTTGCGACGGTAGCTCATCGTTGAATGGGATTGTGTGTTCCCGTTGAGGTACAGGAATGCTACTGATTCGTGTTGCACCGATGAATTTGCGAGCGCCAAGTTCAAGTACAGTTTGGGTGCTTGATAGACGAGCCAAGATTGGACCAATAGTTGCTAGGAAGGGTGTTGCCATAGCCTGCATTTGCTGTGTTTTGTGCGCGTCGTTGACGAGCCATTGAACTCTCCGGAAACGCTCTTCTTGTACAGCGGCAAAGGCGGCTTCGATTTGTACATTGCTCCAGTCTGAACACTCGTCTGAGGTCAAATGGTTCACAAGAGACGCGGCAGTCTCAATGGCAGAGTTACCTCCGTGGCCAGTTAGAGGTTCAAACTACAGATTCGAGGTTAATAGTGCGAAGGAACAGATAGTCGGAGGGGCCTGATACCTTGTGAGCAGCATCGCCGATGGTGATGATGCGTTTATAATGCCACCTTTCGAAAACATATTCATGGAGCGGCGTCAGAGTAGAGCTAGTTCTAGCTCCATACAGTTGACCGAAAGTGACTTCGGGAGTGATGCGATCGGATGCATGCTGTGCGGCCAGTTCCTCCTCATCAACCTTTGTGTATCTCGGTATATCACGACCGTAAAGAGGAATAGGCAATTTGACAAATAGGAACCAGTAGAACTTCCCTCCAGGTCCGACCAAAACCAGATAAGAGAATTTGTCGTTGTAGACGTAGTGGCTACCTTGGATGAGGTCCTCAAGGGGGCGTGAGATGCCGAATATGCACTTGTAGTAGCACGGTACTCTCGACCACTCGTCAGCAGGAAAGTAACCTGGCGATGCAATGCGCCACATTTCCATTCGGACGTTACTGTAGATCCCATCGGCCCCGACGAGAATATCTCCTTCGAAAACCTTGCCTTTGTCTGTCGTAACCTGAATGCCGTTGTCTAGTTCCAGAACTGAAACCACTTTCTGACCAGGCTGTACTGAGGCTTTTGATTCGAGCTTGTTGTAAAGAACCTGCATCAGCATCTGCCTGTCGATGAAGATAGTGGGATAGCCGTGTCTGTTCAGTGTCAAATTTTGAAGACTTCTTTCTGGGACTCTTTCTGGGGCCTACCTCTCAATCAAATGATCTTGGACACTGCTATGATGCTTGATCACTGAACCGTCGGGATATCGTATGTAGGTATTGTTTAGTGGAATGTCAACCAGTGACATAAGCTCATCGGCGCAACCAAGCTGATCAAGGATACGAAGTCCACTTGACTGAAGTCCGATACTTGCGCCAACCTGTGGTGCGATTTCGTCGTGAGATTCTAGCAAAACGTAGCGTATGCCAGCCCTTTCTAGCATATTGGCGAGGGAAAGGCCGGATATGCCTCCTCCCGCAATGATGACTGTCCGTTCAGACTTTCCCTTCATTTTGTCTAGTACCAATAGATAGAGATGATTAAGTTCGTTGGTGTAAACTGGCAGTCTGCTTCAGAGATCTTATGGTTTTGCCGAGAGGTCGCAGACGAAAAGGAGTCCAACCACGGAAGTTACTGAAAAGCCGAATCCCGGTCATCGGACTCTCGGACTATCTTGGCAAACGAATGTCGAGCATAATAAGGAGCATTGCGTGGTCAATTCCACTACCAAAACGACTGTAATGTCAGTGCGGTGCAGTGCAGATCATTTCTTCATCTCATTGAAGTCACCATTTAGCCCCGGCAGATCCACAGGGCCATGTATCATGACCATTCAGGGAGTAATATAAGTCCCCCTCAGGGTGTAAGAAGACTTCTGACGTTGTACTGAGATATCAAAAATACTTGGTTTAAGATCCTCTATATATATACTAAATTATACTAAGTTTACCTAAGGCATTTTGTTACCGAGGATAGAGGTCCTAAGTTTTATTGCATAACTACCTTGGTCCCATCTGCCGAGTAACGCGTGTGGAGATCCCCATAAGCTATGCAAGGACCCTGGGACTTGGATATTGTATCCCCTTATACTCCATGGACTTTCCATGGATGAAAAGGAATTCAGTTAATGTATCTCACGTCTTAATTCCTTATAAATGTCAATATGCTACCCTGAAAGATACTAAGTAACAGACATATAACCTAAGATTTAATTTTAATTTAAGATATGTGTAAGGTAATGCAATAAGTTTATGTTTAAAATACTTCAAGTTCTTTTCCTAAAGAGAATAAATTTATTGAGTTACTTGCCCAATTACACTCTTTATCAATTATGTTATTAACAGAAGCCTGCAATTAAAAATATTTCCACAAAGAGATAAAGTGGTTCTCATTTTCCGAATTATACATAAGTTCGATATAAGAATATCGCTTCTGTAGTAGCATTACGGTTTATTACCCTGTATACACACATCTGAGCATTAGTGTTTGCTGGAAGGACATAGACTAAGACGGATTAGGAAGCATTTTGCGGGCTATGGCAGCCTTAACAAAAGATGATCGGCATCCGTATAACCGACCGACTTCTCACTTTATCCTGTCATCTCATTACCCTATCATCATGGTCGGAGTTCCAGGACGGTCCAATGCTTTCCATACATGTAGGAGGCGTAAACTTGATGTAAGAACTGCTTACGGCTGAAGATCATACCCAACTACTAACTAAAGATCTCAAGTGCGATCGACTTCGGCCATCCTGTCGCCGGTGTATGAGCGCTGGCCTGAGCTGCGAAGGGTAGGAGAGGGCTTCTATTTTTGTCAACAGCACCCAAGGCAGTCACAGCAATTTCTCGCTCAGACCATACTCGCCACGTCGGCTTTCAGAACAGACTGCAGCATCGACACAAGCAGCAGCGCCTTTACTTGACATATCACTTGAACGTACAGCGGCAGAGGCTAAGTATGTCTTCCTGTACTGGAGATTTCTGCTTCCCAAGAACGGCCAACAATTTCCTCTGCAAGCGGCTAGGCATTCCACTACGGGTTGGACGCAAGTTGTGCAAGACCTATCGCAGAAGAATGATGGAGTTCGCGTGGGACTACTTGCCAACGCTCTAGCTTTGGTTGGTCAGCAAACAGGGCAGACATCCGTCGTCGCAGAGGCGTGGCGCATGTACTCCCAGACCTTGCAGACTCTAGCTCGATCACTACCGCATGTCTCAGAACAGGGAACAGCAATAGACGCCAAACTTATGACCTCGGCTCTTTTAGCGGCCTTCAAGGTATTTTCTTCCTTGATTTTCTTGGTATACCGTGGTTACTCACTAGGATAGTTGCTTCAGGTATCTGATGACCGTCGATCGTGCCTCCACGGTATGACCTGGCTTCGGCACTCGACGGGGCAAAAGGCCATCATCCTTGCCAATGGTCCGGAGAGCTATGTTGAAGGCCATGCTCACCAACTATTTGTTGATGGCCGCCTCCATCTGGTATGAAATACTGATGAATCACTTGCGCTTTGGACGCTAAGATCCCTTAGATATATCTCGAAATCCATAATCGCACACGTTCCCCCTTCAATTCCCTAGAGTGGAAGTCAATTCCGTGGTCCAAAATAAGTAAGAGCCCTAAGGATGAATTAGTGGATATCCTTCTAGAAATCCCTGGTCTCTTGGAAGATCTCGGTCTTCATCTTAACGACCAGACACAGGAACAATTGCAGACAAGATGCCGGATATGCGACACCCAACTACGCCGTTGGTCCACTTCGTCCGGTGAAGCGAGTGTCAGCTTTGCAGATCGACTAATATCCACCAACACATCTCAAGTCTCCAACCCCTCACCAGAGGACTTCGCCATGGCCCATTTGAGCATGATCTACTGGGCCACATGCAGCATGTTGTACCAAATCATGCATCGTACGGCCGATGACGACACTGACCCCTGGCTATACTGTCACAAGATCTTACTCATGGTTGCTTTCTTTCAGCGGCCCGACATGGGAGCCATTTTCATCAACTTTGTAGGGTTCCCGGTAGGCGTGGTAGTTAGCTTTCTAAAGCTGGTTCACTCTAATACAACTACAATTTTCTTTCCAGATGTCTCGTTTCGCACCTCATGAAGTGCCTCAGAAATGCTTTCTAGACCCGAGCCTATAACTCGAATTTCCGAAGGCAAGTCATACTCTCCAAGTTCTAGTGCTTCACTCAAATACAAGGCAATCTTGCCCTCAACATCCCACTCCATGATATCCGTCCCAAAAACAAACTTGCTTCGGACTCCGCTGGTCATGACCTTGAGTCTGTTTGTTGAGGACAGCCAGAGATACTTTGCGACGAATGGAACCATGGATAACTTGCTCGTTGGTGGCGACGCTGGCATATCAAGGGTGACTTGGGCTACCTTCTTTGCAGCGCTGGGAATCATTGTGACGATGTCGACACACTTTACCAGGGATCCTTGGCCGATGGCTACGGCACCTGCACATTTCTTGCCCTTTAGACTTGTAACGATATCGTCTATGACTGATGAGCTGCGATAGTCGAATACTGCTGATGCGCCGAGACTGCGAACGGCATCCCAGTTCTTGGGTGATGCTGTGGCGATGACATTGTATCCTGCTGCGACAGCAAGTTGCACAGCATTCTTCCCAACACTCGTGCTAGCTCCCCAAATCAGGACCGTCTCACCAGTGGGTTTGCGAAGCGCCTTGGGCTGAGGCATTTGAAGCGCGAGTTGATCCTTTTGGAAGAGTGCGCATGCAGTGGTAACCGCAGTAAGTGGCAAGACGCTCGCGTGAGCGCTCTTCATGCCCGTGGGGATTTTGATGGCCAAATGCTCTCTGATCACCACCAGCTCCTGGAAAGCGCCCTCATCAGGTCTTCGTCCACGCTTATCCATACCAGCTGCCAGTCCCACGATCCTATCACCTTCTTTGAATTGATTCACGTCAGCCCCAACTTTGATAACTTGGCCGGCGACATCGTAACCGAGAATAAGAGGATACGTGAGCCATTCAAACATCATGTTGCCCATGGACTGTTTGACGGCATCGACTGGGTTGATAGCAACGGCTTCTACTCTGATGAGTAGTTCATTTGGTCCGGGCCGAGGAACGGGTGCAGACTTGACCTCAATCAGGGGACTGTTGGGGCTGAGAAGATAGGCGGCTTTGTTGGAGAGTTCCATAGTCGAAGAAATGACTGAATCTGGGTCAAGATAAAACTGAAGTAGAAGATTTATTGTTCCTTACCCAGACCACTTCTGGTCTCTGTGAGTCTTATATACTACAAACTCCATAGTCAATGACGAAAGTCAGCGACGTCAATTTCGTGAGCATATGCTTATGTCTACGAATTCTGACACTATTCCCGCCAGATCAATGCGAATCCGAGCTTCAACGCGCTGCTTTCCGCTTTAGGACAAGACTAACCCAGTACCTCCTAATCGAGTTTTATCTATTGGCTTAAAGTCCGACGCTAGCCCATTCTAGCAGGCCAGTTGGGCCAGTTGAGCCAATTAGAATGCAAGATCGAAGATCGAGTTATCAGCAACCATTCCTTCACATTGGGATCTCATTTTGTAGCATAATCGGTAGTTTCTCTGTTGTTAACATACCTTGCTATTCTGATGTTAGGCCAGTGTGTAAGAATAATATACTCTGAACTCAGGATAAGATACGCTAAGTTAATCTAAGCCTTTGTACGGAGTATTACTTCGATCGGAGGTTATAAACTTTCGCCTCTAGGGCTTTACACTTTTTGAGTTTCGCTTCCGAGTCTTTCTCATAACCTTACTGCTAAGTTTCGTCGCATAAGGTTCAACTGGAGTAGGGCCTCCATTTGCATCCTTTGGTATTATTTCTTTTCGACTTAAAGGTTAGTATTATACCGGCGGAATCGCCGAGCTCGGTGATTCTAACCTTGAAAATTCAGCCCATGTCTCATTACAGCTTACAGCACAAGGGGGCACAATTCCGGATGTGGCCAGGGCCTTGCAGCGTGTACTATGATTGCTATTACATTTGTTAATCTTGAAATCTATGGGTCAATTTTTATAATATCCCGGGGATCTTCGGCTGGGATTCCACGGCAGATCAGGATTCGGTGGCAAAACAAAGCTAATGCGAGCTATCAGTACAATTCTCATGAACTCATGGGCAGACTGACCTATTCTGTCTATTTGCCAAACCTTCATACATAAGATACCATGCTGTGAATGAAACCAACAAGCCAGTCACACCGCCGCACTTGAGGAGCACGTTATTAGGAGCGCCCGACTCTTCAGTCCAGAGGTTAGCCACCCCGAGGAAGAGCCAGGTGCAATTAACGAGAAGGCAAAGCGTCAGAGAAAAGACATTCGACTTCATAGAGCACAGAGTTATGGCCACTGAGAAGATGAAGAACCCCTGCAGAATGTGAGCTTTGGTTCTCTGGGAGTAGGTAAGTGCAGCAGCGACATACCATAAGAAATAGTCCATTGGCGTGGTTATAGTCGGCTAGGGTAGGGTAAGCGTCCCTGACGTTGAAACTGGGGATCATACTAATGGCAAAAGAGATCCAGAAACAGCCATACGAGCAGGCAATAGTTGCGCTGACTGTATTGCCATTTGCGATATCCCTAATCGAAGCATAAGAATCTACCTGTGAACATGCTGCTTCGAGTAAACAATCACTCACCACATGCCAGAAAGTAATTGAGCAAGCCCTCCATAAGCCAGAGCCGGTCCAATGACGATATTGGGAATCGTCACGCCGTGAACATTGAGGTTGACCAAGGCTGTCAAGAACGTCGCGAAGGCAAACCCAGAGAGACCGAGGGGACCAGCGTCACCAAACTTCTGACGAAATTCTATATCCTTTTGTCGAGCTGCTTCTTGTTGGGCTGTGGCTACGCCATACGACGTCTTCTCAGGACCATCCTCTTGTGCAGACCAGAATGCTGTCTCTTTGTCTCCACTCGATCGGTCCATTTCTGTTCGTGCGGATGACATTTTTAGCTGTTTTATCAGATAACGAGATTAAAGTTTCTCACGAAGAAATAAAAAGTGATTTAAAGATGAAAGTTAAGGTAAGAAGAAGGGGGATCTCGCCGAAGCTTGTTTCTCTTAGTGGAGTCAGTGGATGCAGTGGGTCTCCGGAGTAAAGAAAAAAATTACGTCTGAGTTTTTGATGTCTAGGCCAATAGAGGGCCAGACCGATGTTCAAAATTAGCTGCAGTCTGCTCACTATTTGTGTTTATGAGCTTAATCGAATTGCCAAGCATATCGCCATCGCCAAGAGCATGCATCTCTTTAGAAAGTCCCCGCCAGAAAGTCGAGAGTCCCGTTATTACAGGTGTCTAGTAGGTAACGCAAACATCAACATTATAGCGTGCGGACAGTTGAAGTTTCAATCTTAATAAAATAAAGGAAATCTCTTAAGAATTAAGAAAGGCGCCATTATGTATTCTCTTTTTCACGCTTATAGTATTCATGCCTTGGATTGGGCTTCCTTCTATGGTGTAGTTATCTAATTAATTTGGAAGCCGAATAAATGTGAGCTAACTGGTTGAGGAAGTGTAGTCCGTAGTGCCCGGCAAAATCCTGCTATAAGCGCCGCAGCCCGCCGCTCGCCGATGCCGTCTCCCAGAGACATCTGTCAAGCACTTTTACCTCGTTTGATAGACTTTTAACGCGCTCAAATAGTTTGTGATATTTGTCTCTGTTATCAGGTCCCAGGCTGGCACCACTTGCTGTGTTGCTGATAGATTGTTGCGTGAAAATTTAAATAATAGTTAAATTAAGGGTGTCAAACACAGAAATGCCTGTTCAAGATAAAGGGCATAATGCAGATGGTAGCTGCCAGTACGGCTAGCTCACAATCGGAACATTGAGAAGTTCCATCTTTAGAGTAGACTTTCTTTCTATATCTATTACTCCCTGGTGACTCTGCTTTCATCCTGAGATGTATCTTCATCAACAAACACCCACTCCTTCTTCTCACACCTGCAATTTCGCCGATGCCAGTTCCACATGACCCTTACCTGGTTATTCATCATGACCGCATCAACCTGCGCTCCAAGCCCCGTCCAAGGTATATACATGTTCATGTCTACCCAACGCGAACTCGGCCCAACAATCTTTCCGCCTTTCCATCCCAGTTTTCCCGCCACGTATTGCTCCCACTCATAAAGCGGCTCCTGAGTAAATGGACGCGTACCTCTCGATGCAGCAACCGGATCAGGTTGAAGACCAAAAACATCTTCTTCCCGATGTTCTAGGTCCATTACAAAGTCAACGGCTGTCTCGAGGTCGGCTTCAACGGCTTCCAGACCATTTAAAGTCCTAGCCTCAGACTTGTCCGCGATAGAGGCGAAAGAAATCGGTGCGCTGAGTCCTTTTGTCTGTCCAGTGAGAACAATTAGGACTTTTAAAGACGCGATGTTTTCCAGAGTAGCGCAGCCACCCCAATTCCGGCCTGGGATGGCTATAAAGAATGCCCTGAACAGAGGACGAGTGGTATAAAGTGGCGGTGTTTCGGGTTCGAGGGAGTCAAGCCGACGGTTGATCATGGAATGAATGTCTGACACATGACTGACGGCAGAATCATCATTGGATGTCGGAGGCTGATCAAAGGGCTTCATTAATATTGCCATATATTCGCCATGATCGATATCCGAGAGATATGGTTGAAACCATCGGCGATAGAGATAGTTATGTAGAACTGGCTCCCATAGTCCTCCAATACCACCCCCATTCAGGACATAAATAAGAACTGTCTTATTTCTGAACCCCAGTGCTTCGCGCTTGTCAAGGTGTGGGATTTCTCTTATTTCGGGTGAGTTGTTATCTTGACGGTATATGGCTAATCGATGGATGTATTCCCGCCACCCGCGGAGATGGTGCAGGATCTCGTCGGGTAAAAGTTCCACCGTCTTGTCCAAAATTGCGTGGTAGCCATGGAGGGCTTCATATGGTGCTTTGTAATGCGCATCTGATGGTGGTTGTCTTGGTGTCATGTCTTTCATCTTCAGGCTTCAGTGTTGAAGTATGATGGCGGTATCAAGGACGATCATGACGATATCCAAAAGGCAGCGACTGAGTGTAATTTATGGAATTCAGATTGCTTTGATGACTCATGCTGGTAAAGTGTATCTTGGAAGTGCAAAACTTAGATTGACGACAGTGACTGGCACCTGTGTTCGCAGCCTGAAGCTTAACCTTATTGGCGGCAGTCAATCCGTTAGAGAAAATAAACAACCTCAGTGTTCATTTTTCGCTGCAAGTTGCGGAGCAGTGCTGCCTTCCGAGCTCTGCCGTCCGGCAAAAGACTTCACCTCCATACAGCAGACTAGGATCCAAGTATGTGGCGTCACGGAGCAGGGCTTGAATTGTCTCATCGTGCCCCCGCACGGAGGCATAGCGTTAGGGAAAAGAATATATTAGACTTTAGTGTAAGAAGTTAAAATAAATTCAGTAAAATATATTCTAAACTTAAAAAAAATACTAAATTTACACTAAAGTATTTCAGTCTTTTTGCTATCTCGGATCAAGATCTCAAGTTTTCTTTCCTTATAAGTAGTCCGAGAAGCTTTAGAAAAGGCTCCATATCACCGCCAGTGGCGGGGTCTATTAAGTTAAAATAATTGTCTTATTAAAACAGCTCAGGCAGTATACCAGGCTTGCAACAGACAATCCAGGCGCAATTAACTCACTGAACCGCATTACTACCTGAGCAACACTGAGGAGCTCCTCTGACGGTAGATAGACCCGAGCACATCCCGCAGTCAGTCGACGACTATGGAGATGGTATAACATAGGTTGCCAGACGGTGCAATTTCAGCCCCTTCTCACAGGTAAAGCGGGGTAAGAGAGTAAGATTCACGTACTTTCGACTAGTCCTTATCATCAAGTTGTTAACTCGAACGTCTAATATTTAGTTGGTATCGACACTTGGTAACCTCTTTTACGAATTCAATTTAGCTAATACTCCTTTTTCTGAAGTGGCTTTGACTAGGAAATGTATCCTGCATTTACTGGCCTGGCTTATTATTCTAGACTCGAATACATAAGTAAAGCGGATAATTCGCGAAGCTACAATTGGTCAGACGGTTTGCGCTATTGAAGAATGACTTGTTCTAGACTCTGTACTGTAAGTAAGTCAGATGAGTTGTCAAGCTATAATTGGTTGAGGGGGACTTGCGCTATTGATATATGGCTTTATCTCTAGGAGCTGAAAATCTATAAGCAGTAATGGCACACCGCCTCACCGCATTAATCAAAAAGATGGCTTAATCTCAAGTAGCTGAACTGCTGTAAATAGCAAACATATTGCGCATTAGCGCAGAATTTACAGGGGTGTTCGAGACATCTCAGCTCTTTACGAAAAGCCGCATCTCGCCCAAAATTATCCATAGACTACAATCTTTACGAGCTATTAGCTATAAAGACCAAGATCCAATCATCTCAGAATCTTAGCATATACTAAGCACTATTATCTATTATTTCATAAACACTGTCTTAAAACTTAACCATGCTCGCCATCGAAACAGTGACTCTTGCTTCAGGCCAACGGCTTCCGTTAACTGTCGCCAATACCCAGCATCATCATGATCTTGACTGCACCAACCAACCAACAAAAGATTATGATACAGACATTCTTTATGACGCTCAGTCTGGACAGACAGCTCCACGCCCCGCCGTTGTCATTCCGGATGATCGCACGGTCTTGCTCACTGTCAGAGTCAGGGTACCTCAAGAACTCCAGCAAGGTCCGATCGTGCTTTCTACAGACCAGAGTCGCAGTACATATTATTCAAGCTGCGACTTTGGAACTGACCCGGATCCCGATATAGTCGTATGCAGTATGATGGTGGTTGGCCCGGGTGCTTGGAACCCTGGTAGCCTTCTAGGCCCAACTCAATTCTACGTGTACAATTATCCAGGGAGTAGTATGTCACCAGTTCTCTATCAAGAACAACCAGCCAAGGTCCCCATGGAACTCTATTCCCTGTCAAATGAGCTTCCGTCGTATTTTGATTCCGGAGTTCCACTTCTACTGCTACAAATGTTCATCGGCGCGGCAACACAGCGAAACATTACGAATGTACAGCAGTGGATGGAACTAGTCGTCAAAATATGTCACGGTTCTGCCGAGCCCCTCACGGGAGAGCCAGCAAACACACAAGACCATTGGCTCAAATATAACACTACTGGTGGCGCCCCCAGCTTCATACAGTCCAACAAAATCAACCCAGATCCAATTCCGGTCTTGAACTCTTTTTCAGACTACGGTGGCTGCTTTCAGCTATCAGCATGGCTCGATGCTTACAGGAACTTCAAGCAGTCTGGAGCTCTGACTCTTGTCAACTGTTTTGATCAAGCAGGTGCCGTGGAACTGGCAGCATCTCTTGGCGTTAACTATGCCTGCATGGCTTGGGAGCTCCATCAACCATATGGATACATATCCAAAAAAGCAGAGCTTGTTGGCTGGGGACACTGTAACAATCCCTACTTCAACAAAAACCCCAAGTATAAGGTGCTTGGAGAAAAGGACCCCGCCCGACTACCATTTGCGAGACATGTGTTTTTGTCATGGAACCCAGAGTTCGACCCATCGAGTGCCTTCTATTTCGATAAGACGGACCCTTCCACGTATATGGACTTCAACATGCTGGCACTGGATGCATGTGCCGGCCCACATCTGGGAAATGAGACTCGAGGAGTGTGGGTGAGCCCAACTTCATACCCGCCTGGCTATACCGACAACTCGACATACTGGAAAACTCGCGATGACCAGTATCCTGATAACGCCTCCACGCAATTCGCCGATTTGACCGACAGACATTTCTGGACTCCTGGTATTACCGGCCTCTCGTCCGATGACGCTCAGCGGTCATACGGGCCTCTTCCTGCCGACCCCTTCGCTGGAAGTGGAATAACATTCCCAACAGCTGCTGACTTCCCAGATTCGACCTTGGTACTGGGTGGTAGCGTATCCGATCTGCAAAGTTACTTCAAACAAGCTCTGATCCAAGCCAAGCCCGACACTAGCGACTGGAAGTCGGTGCCCATCGCCGACGTTCTGCTTCCCGAAAATACCGGCGTTATACTTGAGACAAAGCTGTACGACCCCAAACAGCCTGCGTTTGACTATGCTTCCCTCAAGATATCCGTTCTGCCGAGTCTCTCTGATGCACTTGCTCATCAGAGGGCTCGGGCTACTCAGGTTATTATAACAAGCACTATGGCCGCGAGTGACTTCACGCCTAGCCTAAGCTCTCAGGCTTCCACCAGAAGGATCCATATACTGCAGGCGGATTATACTAGTATGCTAGTGTGCCTTAACCTCATGATTGAAATTAGTGGTTATATCGGCGAGGAGATAGTGCAAGGGCTAAGTAACACAATGGCGGAACAGCTTGAAGATCTTCCAAGTGTGCCAAGCAGCCAGTGGCAGCAAATTTTACAGTAAAGAGGGACAAATAGTCTAGTTAAGTCTTAATAGAAAAGTGCTATTCTAATAAGTAAGGTAATTATAACACTACTAAGAGCTTAATATATAGTTTTATACATTATAATTATTCAGTTCTAGCTACTGTCAGTCCAGGCTATTCTTATACAAGAGGTATTACTAGTTATGTCTAGAGGTATTCTAGACAGTATAAGACAGGCAGTAAATACTATAGTATAAGCAGAGGCATAACAAGCATTACGGAAAGGGGGGTTTGAGTATTAAGCTATGTACCCGCAAAGGAAGGAAGTTCGTCTACTGTAGCCAAATTTGTTGTCCACGCTTCGAACACAAGGTCTGTCTTTCCGCAAATGTAAGTCGGGGATGACGAGCAAGGGTCACAGACACAATCAAGCAGTACCCGGCAAGGCTGCTGGGGGAGGATATAACAAAGCCCTTTACAAGGCCTTCCTAATATTATAGACAAAGTATGTTCTACAGCTCGCAAGCAAGATTGAGTATGATGGACTGATCTACATTATGAAAACGGACTGACACATATTTTTTTTAAACATGGTTTTAAGCCCTAGAGGCTTCCTCATCTTCAATGAAGATGGAATCTAAACTGCTAGTTGAGTTTACGACTTATCTTCTACATGCGCTAAAGTAAGTGGAACTATTGATGCTTCGGGATCTATGATTGAAGCGACGAAGCGCTAACGATAGCGGATATTTTGTTGAACTGCTCCAGGTCAGGCTTCAACAGAGTCTTCCTCTATGCTCGAATGAATGGAAAGTGATACATCACCTGGCTAACAGTATCCCCTTTAAAGTATAGTGATTATTGGCTCTGTAAACTTTGTAAAATGCCCCGCATCCTATCTTTATGGCCTTTACTTCCTAAGCAATAACTGGCAGTAGCCTGATTATTGGATATTTAAGGCTAATCGATTGTTTTAATTGCTATAGAAATATATTTACCATTATTAACATTTGAGAAATAGTTCTGGCTATAAATAATAAATATACTAAGCTAAAACATTAACAAGTCTGCAGGTAATAACACTACTGAGTTGTTGTTGTAAAGGGGAAGACACAAAGAGTATAAGTAAAATCAAGGGTGATACAGGCATCGTATGCCTTGGAACTTTCAAAACAACAAAAGGTGTTATAACAGCTATAAACGATGACATAAGAACTTCATAAAATGATATATGATTTGGCGGCCAGCCCGTAATGATTTGAGCACCTAGATTGGCGAGTCCTATAACCTAAAGGTCTAAGTCAATGAGATCATCTTGGCTGTTGTTTCATACTCACAGATGCGGCTAATATGTATCTTATAGTAGCTTCTGTGTATATACGTGACTGGTCTTGATTTGTCGTGAGTTTCTGTATGTTCGATTTAGCCTCAAGTGTAAAAGTATGTCACTATTTCGTGGAACCTCTCCTACCTTCCTTCTAGCATCGAGAATATTAAGATAGTTCTGTATATCGGAAAGTACCTCAAGACTCTTTTGAATCCGTTGTACTGACTCAGGAGCACCAAGGTCTTGATAGAAACTTCCCCATAGAGGATGGCCCGGCGCTCCATCTGACCAATGGTGTAAGTCCTTTAACAGGAAAGTTTCAAATCTCTCTAAAATCCTGAAGTTCGTGCACAAGAAGTTTTCAAGAACATTCGAGAAATGCCTTATCCAGTATTAGTTATGTATAAGCAAAAGTTCGTCGGACAGAAGGTTCGTTTTCTCCTCCTGGTTAGCAAGGTCAGTGATAGAACGACCGCAGAACCGGGGATTACTCACAAAAAGCTTTAAATTGGCGTCAAGAGTCAGCTGGATGTGGCGATGATATTCGGTAATTTTCTCCAGTTGCATGGCTAGTGCACCGAGAGCATATGCTCGAGGCGACATAGTTCTCTTGATGTCAACTGTATGATCCCCCAAACTGCTGCTCAGAAGTATGGCATCATTCGAGGACTCACTAACGGCCGGTGGTTCGTCGAAGCCCTCACTCTATGGGATGACTGCGGCCTATAAGGTTAAGATTTAGGCTGCAAATATAGATAATAAATAACAATATAATATTTTTTTTTCCTAATATAAGCTTTTACCTATAAGCTTTTATAATAACTAATAAATCTTATTATAAGCCTTAAGGCATTATAAAGGAAAAAGATTAAAAGGTATATAAAAGAATATAACTTTAAGTTTATATTTCTATATATATATTATAATATAACTTTATAAATAATATATCTATAGTAATCTAAACTATTATTAGCCTAGACTATATAAGCTAAAGGACTTAAGACTATATATATAGGTTCCTTATTATCTTTATTACTTTTAATATTTAAGTTATTAAGTATATATCTAGGTAAATAGATTTTATAATACTTCTTAAGGTTATTATCTTTATAAAAAAATAGCTTTTTAATTATATTAATATCTCTAGTAAAGACTATACTAAGATTACCTTTTTTAGCTATAAAGTATTTACTATAGTTATTAATTACCTAGATATTAATATCCTTAAGAACTTTACTTACTATAAAGCTAAGAAACTAAAAAGGCTTATAAAAAAGGAAAATAAAAATATAATTAAAAGGCTATAAAAAAATATTACCTAGTTACATAAATTATAGTATTATAAAAGACTATAAAGGTAGTAATATAAGCTATTAAAAAGTTATTAATTAGAGTTATTAAATAACTTTAAGAAGAATTATATATATACTATAATAAAAAGGTTAAACTATTAAAGGTTTTATTAATTAAGTTATTTAGGCTAGCTAGAAAAGTTAAAGTATTAATACTTTTATTAAGGTAAGTTATATCTAGATAACTAGAAGCTTTAAAAGCTAAGAAAATACAAGCTAATTAAGTTTATAAGATTAATATATAATAATTTTTAACACGATAGAAGCCCTTACTCAGGCAAGCCGCTGTCCAGTATCGTTCATTTGTGCCAGTCACGATTGTAGACCATGTTATATGGTATAGGTAGGTTTTTTGTGGCTGGGGAGCTTCTTTTTCACTTCGGCTTTCGCAAATCATTTGTTGCTGGTAGAGAAAGGAAAGGCTGACGCTGGATCGAAGAGCAGCCCTTCCAGTGACGGATGTCTTGCCGAAAGCATCATGACTTGCAATAACTAAAAACGGCAGACTGAACACTATTTGGAAAGTGCTTCCAAACCAGGTCTATCAAGACATTAAAATGTTAGATTCTAAGCTTCGACCAAGAGATAATCGCTAGTTACTTACGTCCTGGGTCAAACTTATCATAGGGCTTGGTTCTTTGGCAACGAGGTTGGAGAAGAGTTCCTGGAATCTTCTCACTGGAAGATCATCTGTAGCTTTATCTCTCTCTCTGACTCTGCTAGGGTCAATGTTCCAGACGTAGCTGTGTCTCAATTAGTCTCCATGCTACTAGAAATGGAGCTTGGTGATGCTTACATGCACCGCGGTGTGTAAGTTGTAGTATCGTGACTATTGGGCGACCTCTATTGAAATCATGTCAGTCGGCAACTACAGTGGGATAAACCCTTTTCAGTCTGCTTCATACCTTCTCTTTGAGCCAATCCACGAACTTACGTCCGTCGAGCGCTTTCTTTATACTAAATAAGTGCTCAACCCGTATTTTAGGCTGCATCGTTTCATCCTCGTTGCAGGATTCCGTGGTTGCGTCGAAAGAAGTGCCATGGCGTCGTGAAGTTTTCGTTATCTTATGTTCCCCAAGGGCGGCTTTTGGACATGATAACGTGGAGACCATAGCTTCTAAGAGCCCGCACTCGAGTGTGTTGAACCTAGAAAAGAGCTGTCTATCGCCCTCCAGTGGATTGGGATTTTGGCCAAACAGACTTCGGCATTCGTCAGGACGGAGCAAGACTTCAGGACTGTCGTTAGTAGATGATGACCCTTCTCTTGAGAAGTATTTGAAGACGTTTGTCATTGAATCATAAATCATACCCCATTTGCCGGGTTTGATGCCTTTCGATGCAATCTGGAGTTGACCTTCCTGGGCCCTGAGTGGGGGAATAATGCCCGAGCTTGTCTCAAATATCCGGCACAGGCTGTCCCAATTTGTGTCGAGGGTGGATACTTGATCGCTTGACCTCATAGCTGCATCCACATCGAGCCGTATCTGGCATTTCCACTTCTGACGGAATCTGGCTTGGAGATCATTCAACACATCCAGAATGGGAACCATGTACCAGATATCAATTTCGGGGCATCCAAGCACAACATATCCAGCAAGTAATCCGGTCCGCTTATCGAAAACAGCCGAGCCAGAAGTTCCCTTCGGCATAGCATTGTCAGACTTGATGCAATATAATGCTTGGAAATCTTTTGAGCCCGGAGGTCGCAAGAGTGACGATGCTGGGAATATCATGCCCCCCATATATCCGAGTGATGCTGTCGCAATGATAACCTGTCGAGGCTCTGTTTCGCTTTGTAAGTCGAAGGCTTCAGATTTCTGTACCAACTCTGCACTCTTGGACGTAAAGACCCCTGCCCGGAGATCTGCGCGTATGGGAATGAGAAGATAGTCCATTTCCGTGGAAATTTGGCAATTCTCTGATCCGGGTGCAAAGCCCAAATACGAGGAGGCATGATCAATGAGGAACTCTTCAAGGACTGGACGTTCTGAGAGACGGAGATGTGGCGAAGAAGGCGGGTGAAATGGCTCGTCTATGGGTTCTTTATCATTGGAATTTGCTTCTGCTATGGTTGTGTCGCTTTCGTTTTGTTGAGTAGCAACCTCTAGAGTTGAATTGCTTGATAAAGATCCGGGAACTTCATCGTCGGAGATATCGGACGCTGGTGTACCGTCGTCGTCCGCTGAGATGTCCCAAGATGCAACATCTTCGTCTACGGAACAACCTCTGTCGGTATCATCATCGCTTTCGTCATCCCAGTCGTCCCAGTCATCCGTTGTGCTTTCAGTGGCATCATGTGTAGCTTTCTCCTGGAAGTTGACAACGTGCGCCACAGTGAGCTGATAGGTGCGGCCATCGAGACTTATCAGCGGTCCTGCCGTGGCTGTTTGAAATCGCACCTCTCCTTTTCCATACACCTGGCGTGCTTGTACTTGACGACACAGGTAGCTATCACCGGTGATGCATGGGGATATGCGAATAGTCTTATATTCGTCTTTGGCAATGTTCTTGCCCTTGTCGCCCCTTCGTAATCCAGGTTCATATTCCAATTTCTCTTCATCTTGCATAGTCTGCTGAGGTTCGCAAGATGTCTCTGGGAGGGTTGCTTTGCTGATGACTTTGAAGCGGTCGAGAGCTCCACCTGGCTGGAACATCGGGCAGCTACTTAGAAGATCGCGCGTGAGCCTCCGTATTCTGCGATCGCTGCATGAAACCACCACGAATGTTTTTGCTAAGTTCTTTGAGGCCCCGATCTGATAAAGGCCTATCCAAAGGTTGTGGCTAGACTCTGGAATACAAGAGTGTCTAAGTAGGTTTTGAATATTGGACCGATGAGTGTTGAAAGTTGTGAGATCTTCGCCGTGAGCCATCCAGACCTTTTGTTTACCGAAGAATGACTTAGGCTTAGAAAGAATGCTGGAATAGTCCATAACTTGACTTATAGAGCCTAGTCTGCTCTAGAAGAAAACTAGGACGACATTAAGAGTCGAATGATGGTGGAGGTTCAAAAGGTGTACGAGTCAATTGAACGCCGCTTAAAAATCGAAGAGGGGTTTCGATCATTACAAAGTGGAGGTAACAGAACAGTCGGAAATTAACAGGAAAGTCAGTAATTGGTTGGTCTCTGCTAACAATCTTACGCCCGACTACAGTGACAATTCATGCCCAAGGATGTCAGGCATCATTGTGGTGCATGAAAGGAGAAGATCTCATCCAATGATGCAGTGCTGAGGACGCCACATTGTGACTTGTATAGCCACTGGGCGACAATTACAAAGCACATATACGTGATGTGATGTGCGACAAGGCAGACAGAATTGGCTGTGTAATATATCAGGGGCCTCAAATTAAAAACCAAGATCTGGCTGAGGGCAATGTTCATTGTGCTCGCCAGATAAATAGCAAAGAATTATTCTTTCTTGCCTATCTACCATGTCCTTAGCATCGACGCTTCTCGGCGCTTTACCCAGTTCCATTCAGTTACTTAATGGTGACAACGTGTCGAAGCTCGACTTCAGGGCATACGATGCATACGTCAAGAGACAGCAGAAGCTATTTAGTGACCTGAGTTCGTCGGCAGTCAACCCTTTCGATACGTTATCACTCGGAAACGTCGCAGACCATATTCGAAGACCTAAACATCGGGATCAAGTCATCTCCTACATATGTACATCATCTGGGAACCGCGATGTTAACGCTTGTCAAGATGTCTTGAATCTTGTGGCTCGACTTATTCTGATGATTGAAGTGGGCAGTTTAGAGAAAGACTCCGGGTTCTTGCACCAGACTGGCCCCAGGCCAATGCCTCTCTGGGATGAGGATTCTCTAGGCAGCTTGACTGGAAAGCTGTTCCCCATCTCAAGTCTACAGACCTGCAGTGGAATGGCAATAGCCCCAGACTTATCTGCATGGAGTCTTGAAAATGTTGCCGGGATCAAGATTGAGTTCACCGATAACCTGGCTGACCATTTACGCTTGACCAACAACAATTCGCAAGTATATATCTTTCACCACGTTGCTTTCCTCGAAACTCAGAGGAATAGGTGAGTATCCCGCCTAAATTTACGTAGGGTCTAATTTCGTGAAGTATACACTCCCAAAGTCCCGTTCTCCCCAAAGGACTAGCGGAAGAGACCCTGAGAACCCTAGCAGTCCTATTTCCCCAGTCCGACCACTGGGCAGTATTACGCTCTAACCGCAAAAAGCAAGTTTGGCTAGATAGACTCTGCACTCACTCCAGCCGCATGATAGATCCCCAGCTAGCATGGTGCGGGACCCCCGGTGGAGAGATCAGATATCTCTCCAACTTTTGCTTTTGGAGAGATCGCTTACTAATTCTGAAGGAGGAATTTGATCATTCGACACCGGATTCGTTCTCTCAGTGGTGGTATGACCGACGGAATGGAGTGCAGTGGCATAACTTTTGGGTAGCAATAGTTGTCTTGGGACTGACAGCTGTGTTTGGACTGATACAGTGCATTCTTGCGTCAATACAAGTTTACAAAGCCTATCATCCCTAGATTACTATCCAAACTATAGCTACTCGATCGATACCTTGATATCTCACCTCATGAGGCTTGCCAGACGCCTGGTCCACCTCAAGCTATGGAATTGTTATCACCTGCCAATAATCAGACTGATGGTTTTGTGTAGCTGCCGATGGTATTATGTTCTGGTCTTTCGCCATGTCAATTGCAGAGTGATTTCAGACCACCACCATTGGACAAACGTCCGGCAAAACATCAACCCGTTGGGCGGCTAGGAGGTGCAAGAATACTCCTGACATTGAACTGAGGTACGAAAAGTACTTAGTCTACGATCCTCTAATTCTATACTAAATTATACTAAATTTACTTAGAGCTTTTTGTCACTTATGATCAAGGTCCTAAGTTTTATTGCATCCCCCGGAGCGGTAAACCCCTGTCGTAAACAATTATTTCCTCTCAGTAGCCTTGGTCCCATAGTCCAGTTTCGAAAAAGTCGTGCGACAACAACTCGACATTGAACAAATCCAGATCTCCCGGCATAGTAAACAAAGAATCTATACAATCTTGACCAGATTCCACTGGCTCTCTTATCTGACCAGAGTCCGGGTCGTCGTGCAAAGGCATGACAAAATGGCTTTTGAGATACATCTCGGAATCTGGATTTTTCTCAGAGGCACCGCCAGTCCCTGGCCCTGAGTTTGAGGCGCCAATCTGAGGGGACTGAACCCTAGGAGTCAACAGTTCCCAAAGCCATGCGGATTGGAAACTGATGTTTGTCCCTTCGTCTGAGTGCTGTCGGCGGTTTTCGTTGGCCAGTGCCTCCAGCTTCCTCAATATCTCAAGCTAAAACAATGTGTGAGCACTCATCTGAGATCCAAATAACAGGTAGCGTACCTTTTGGTTGACGTGAGGCCAAGTTACAGCAACATGGCTGAGAAACACATCGCATTTACCTAATTCTTCACGAGCCCGCCGCGAGATCTTGGGATCCGCTGAGAACTGAAAGAACCATGACACTGTCGCAGCTGCAGCTACAAAGTCTGCCACCATCGGATCGTCTATATCCATTAGATCCATAAACGACTGGAGAATCCTAAACAGGGATCCTGTGTGAAATAGCGCCATATCAATCCTCTGTTGAAGGAACAGACACGATGGGGGGACATCCCTGGAGGACCTGAGTAAGAACAAGTGGACGAACGGGTGGTTTAGCACGGCGTGGATGGCATGCCAGATAATTTGGCTAGCCATGAATGGATCCCAGTATTCGCGATGTGAAGATATTTCTGCTGTAGTTCGGCTTGGCAGAAGAGCCTTGGAGAGAAAATAGGTCGAATCGATTAGAGCTTCGTGCTCTATCATCTCGATGTTCAGCTTTGTCTGCGTTGAGTCTGGTGACCAAGGCTTTTCAGTGACGCCTCGCCGTAGACTATGTAAGTAAAATCGAAGCTTTCCCCAAATCGACACAAGACGAATGTGAACGCCAATGATACCAGGATCACTGCTCAGTATGGTTCTGGGTTGTGCTGTTTCTAACTGTGCGCGTTCTGGTACGGTAGTTGAGAGTGTCGATTGAAGTGCAAGTGGCTTTGGAGCGCTAATAGGAAATTGAGGAACTCCAGGCCCAAAAGCATCTGGCATCGTAGGAACAAAAAGTCGTTCGAGCATGAAAACACTCCAGTGAGCTCTAGATACGGAGTCATCTGTTAGATAAGGGCTACTGTCAAACGAGTGGACTCGTAAGGCCTCTAGTCGTGCAGCAGTACCAGTAGTCATCCAGGCTCGTGCGAGTTGTTGATCTAGAATCCCGATGAGCTCCTGAACTTCATGTGAAGGCACGTGTCTTACTGTTTAGATGCTTCATAGCGATAAGGCAAAGGGATTGTATTACTTCTGGTGATATATCCCCCTCAGAAGCCAAATAGCTCACGGCCTCCTCCGCCTTTTGGGTGTAGAAGTCTCTTGCAAATGTTCTTTGATCATCGTAGAAAGGATGGGTAGATAACATCAGAGTGAGAGCCATGAAGCTCCAAAGTAGGAAATGAGGGCCGTCAAGCAATCGTTCCTCGAGTCTATTTAGCCCGAATAGCGGGAGAGGCTGAAGATGGATCTTGGTTTCGTAGACTTTGACGAAGTGTTTAAGAGCCTCCTGGGTTGGCTGGGGTCTGAGATGCGTACCTTGTATCAGCTTAGGGTGTTGTAACTTCTGTAATTTAGTAGTGGCTAGTGCAGAGATACTAACCTTTCCAGTGAGAACTTTCGGTTCTCAAGCTCATGGTGAGGGATGTCTTGCGGCGATGGTAGGGCAAAAGGTAATGTAGATTGGCAATTGGGAGCACATTCATGCGCAGCAGGATGCTCGTTAGTTTGAGCGAGCTCTTCTGCCTTTCGCTTGTTGGCCCTTGCTCTCTTAGACTTGGCACTGCTTGCGGGTCAACTCGCGGTGATTACTATAGCATGCCATGCGTTCAACTCACGATGACTTGGTTTTTGCCCTTGGCAAGTAAGAACATGGGAGACTCAGACGTAGGCAATACGAACATGTAGGTCTTTGACCATCACACTTCATCTTTTTGCGTCTACATGGCTCGCAGGCGTGTCGCGTCAGTTGTTCCTGAGTCGATGGCATGTTTCCTGTGTGTATCTGCAGGTATAGAGTGCATGTTGACTGTTATTGGGGAAGTGGACGAATTCAGTGGGTACGGAATATTGAAGTTGGTCGCAATAATGATGAGTCAGCCGTAACTATGGGTACGGAGAATGATCAGGGGACAAACAGACCAATCCCATGGTCTCGGAATACTGGCGTCTCAATGGTAGCTACTTGGAGCCTAACATGAGATAGCTGAAAATAGATAAACCGCGGTTAGGACCGAAGTCACTGTTTGGATACGGCTGTCCGCGATCCTCCGGACAATGGGTATGGAAAAAAACAGGGATTGCGACAAAAGGTGCAAAACCACTTACAAGTTAATTATATAAATCGTCAAATACTTCCTTACTGCGATGGCTCCTCAGGCCTGTCCTTCTCATTCATCTCAAATACACGATATACAGAACACTCCGTTGCTCCCAAAGTTATTTATCCACAACGAAACACGGTCACGAAACCACCGTCTGGCAAAATGACACAAACTAAGTATGTCGAGAACAACTGCGTTATCACCGATAGAAACGGCATCGTTGAGAACATCCACCGCGTCCATGTCGCAGTCACAGACTCTCACGGCAACATCCTTTACGCCGTTGGCAACCCTGCTCGGGTAACTCTAGCCCGGTCGGCCGCCAAGCCTGCACAAGCTCTCGCTATCATCGAGACGGGCGGTTTCCAAGACGCAGGCTTTGATGAAATCGACCTTGCCCTCATGTGTGCGTCGCATAATGCAGAAAAAAGGCATGTTGAACGTGCTAGAAGCATGTTGATCAAAATCAAAGCGCACGAGAGCGACTACCGCTGCGGTGGACATGCTTCGCTAAACCCTGCTGTCAACCAAGACTGGGCCCAGAAGGGGTTGGATGTCACGGGCGGAATCTACAACAACTGCTCTGGCAAACACGCTGGCATTATTGCTGGCGCTCTCGCTCTAGGTGCCAGTATAACCGATTACCACAGTCCGGATCATCCGATGCAGGTTCAGGTGAAAAAGGTCGTTCAGGAGCTTTGCCCCGAGCCCAGTCTCGTTCAATGGGCCACCGATGGCTGTAATATTCCCGCTCCTGCATTTCCCCTCTTCTACTTGGCACATACCTTCGCTGTCTTCGCCGCCGGTGCAGATTCTGCCGAGCAAGAGGCTTCACCATCTCCGCGTACGAGAAATCTTTCCCGGATCTTCCGTGCGATGTCCAGCTATCCGGAGTTCGTGACAGGAGAAGGACGTTTCTGCACAGACTTGATGCAGGTGTACAAGGGGCAATTGTTCGGTAAGGTAGGTGCCGATGGATGCTATGGAGTTGGGATACGTGAATCTGAGCAGACTCTAAGCGTGGGGGCACGTGGGTCGTTGGGGATCTCTGTCAAGGTTGACGACGGAAATCTTGATATCTTGTACGCCGTGGTGGTTGAAGTATTGGAACAACTCAAGATTGGGACGTCAGACACAAGGCAAGCTTTGGAAAGCTGGCACCACTTCGAGAGAAAGAACACGATGGATGTTGTAGTAGGCTCTGTCTCTTTCGATTTCAAGCTACGGTCAACTGCCTGATAGAGAGTTCCCATTTAGGAAATGTATGAGTAATAGGGACGAATGTTTGTTAAGGGTGAGACATGTGAAGCGGGTAGTAGTAGGGCCACACTACCCTTGCGGGAATTCGCACCGATCCGGAGGTTCTAATGGCTATGGCTCTAAGGCAGAAAATGAAGGTTCTTCTTCGTTCAAAGTTTACCTCGAAGGAGAGAGATCATGGGACCAAGTAGAGTATGCCATTAGACCTAAGACAAGATGGGACAGGCTGAACTATAATAATAATAAATACTGTTTGTTTCTTCGTTTCAAAAGCATAATGACCTGGATTCCATAAAAGGTTATAGAGAGATGGAATGGAGCGCCGGCTTTATACTGGCCTACGACGCGCTGCCAAAAGCTCCTTCACATCCCCTGGCACTTTCGGCCGTGGTAGGAAAGACAAAATTGACATGTCGTATCTGTTCCTGAGTGATTCGATTGTTGGCTAGTTGCCTTTTCGTCGGTTGAACAATTCTTGTAATTTCTGGCCTATCTCTTGGTCATAGATTTGATGGGACTTAGGTCAGCACTAGATTAATGACTGGCGAAGACAAATTACTGTACCTTTGAAGCTGACTTGCAAAAGGTTTCGAGTTCAAAGTTGCAACTCCATTGTGCAACTTTTATAGGGTCGTCTTCACCCATGGCGAGTAAAGCGTGTGTAATGCTGTCTTAGTACTAAAGTATCAGTTATTGAGTAAGACAAAATAGAAAATAAGGAGCATGGACATACAGGTTCATGATCGATGGCGTTCGGTCAGAGATAGCAACCGAAGCCTGCCAACATGACGCTGTGAAAGGATATGTATTCTGCGCCAAGTTCTGATAAACAATTTGCATCAGTTGGCTAAGAGTCGTCTTTCGTATATGCGGCTCTACTATGGGGTTTGCCTCGGGCATAAGCTGCGCGTTGAAGGCCATGTCTATGTTCAAGAGGTAGAAGGGTGTTCAGTTCAGCTATTAAAGACAATTCTGAGAATAAAATGGAGGTTCTTGTATTACTTGAAAGACATACTGAAGAGTTAAGATGAAAGAAGATGAAGCAAGTGGCCATAAGTCCATTAGGCAGCAGTTGTCGGCTGAGCGCTGGTAACTGGCTGGCCTCTGCTGGCCCGCTGACATCCCCGCACCCAATTAGGTGGGAGTTCATGACCGCGGTTCTTGATCATCGAGAGGGTTAAAAATAAATAAGCTTGTCTAATCTCTTGAAATCGGAAGCAGAACTAGAAATGCATAGAGGGAAAATTAACCTTGGGTATTAATAAGCTCTTCTGCTCTTAATCTCCATGACACGGTGCAGATTGATTCACGCGACTCAACTTCCCGGATGAAGTCTTGGTTGGCTCAAGTCAACAGCTACGGGGCCGCACGACATAGCTCGAGATGAAGGAACTGAAGATCAAGGTAGCAGACATAGAACTACATATTCACTCCATATACATGGCGATGAAGCTCCTCTATAAAATCATTATGATACCTAGAGCAACGACCATGATAGAGATGGTGAACTCCGACGACAGCTTGATAGATCCACTATCGTATCCGATGTTGGATGAATCGTTCCCAAAGCCCACGGTGCGTAACCAAACAGGCGTCTCATCTCTAAGACTCAGCGAATCCGAATGATATGCATCGATAACCCCAGAGACACGAATCTGAATAAAGCCATGCGCACCAGGGCTACCTGTTTGAGGCCCTGACCACTCAGTCGTCGCATTAGGCCACACATATGGACTTGCAGAAAAGACAGCGTCCATAGTCAAGTTCGCTGTCTTGTCATCGAACAAGACACTAATATCGGGCCATCGAAAGTCATCCCAGTCCTCCGCCTGCCAAGATCGGTACTCCTCTATACCAACTCTATAGTCACCGCTTAGCTCGGTGGTGTTACACACTGGCATGGTGAGGTTTAGACTTGACGAGTAGGATTCGGGGATGTTGCGTTGAAGTAGGGCGCTGATGTTGTAAGCTCCGGAATTGGTCTGGGTAGTGGTGAAGTTGAAAATATCAGGGCCTTTGCCCTCTTGGGGTCGCGAATAACCATCTGGGCTTGGACTGCATGAGGGTTAGAAGATTTGATATAAACAATGTATGAGAGACGGTTGACTGACTGCACAGAATATAGGGGAAATTGCAGCCCCCCGGGCTGAGATGAATACGTAAAGTCGGTGCCCAGAGAGGATACATTGAACCCCGCTGAGGATTTTGGGATGAGCGTCAGCCAGAAAATAACAGAGTTAATCCCAGCGTTCCATTTTCCTTTCTCAAGAATACTGAGAATTGCGTCGTATTTAACAATTTGGGTCGAGTTCTTTAGCTCAGGACACAGATTATCCGTGTAGTTGGGGCCGAAAATGGTCTCGTTCCAGACGTCTCCAAAGATGGGTCTCAATTCGACTTCTGCGGTCGCGTTGTAATACCTATCGCGAGACCATTTAGTCTAGTCACCACCACAATCTTTTACCGCGTAAAACTCACGATCCAACCCATTGATAAAAGTCGCCGAGACCTGTGACATTGCGAGGACGGTAGTTTGTAGAGTTGTCGTAGTACTCGTCGTCTTTCGCGAGGCATAGCGTCAGCAGACAGAACAGGACTGCATACAGCTGCACTATTCGATTAAGGCCCAACATTATTGCTCATATTGTATGTAAAGAACGGAGTGAACTTGCGATGGATGCAGGAACAATGCGAGTTATATCCGTCATCTACCCAGTATTGGATGCGCCAAGGTGGTACGGTTCATCTCGCTTAGCCTGTTCTGTGGGCATTCAGCCTGACTTTTATGCATCCAATTGGCGCCAAGCCGACATCAATCCACTTAACGGCCAAGAAGCCGGCTTGGCTGTCAGATTGGCATAATTAGCAAGTCAATCACACTAGTTCTTGAGAATAGGTAGTATGTTCAAGATATATAATAGAGTAGGTTATAAGTGCGGCATGAACTAACTTCATTTAAGTTTATCGTTAGAGGGTTAATTAACCCCCATTCCATAAATCAATCCAGGACTTTCCCTCCTTGGCAATTCAGCACGGCTTGCTCTCCAAGACCGTACCAAGCTAAACGCTGTTAAAATCGGATCAATTACTTATTAGAATGCCAGATTCTGAGTCTCCAGTTAATCGAGATGAACCACTTCTCCTAGCTACCATTCCTGTCTTGACATCTACGTCAATTCTAAAAAGACTGACGTTTGGTTTTCAACACTACCGGTAATCTAACCGCTTTAGCTTAGTTACCGGCAGTGGGAGAGTCAAAAGGGGAGATAATAGTTAGCGTTAAGAGTTTTATCCTTTTTAGGCATACGGCAGTCATGTCTATAGGCTCTTTCATCTTAGTTACGTTTTGAGGTCCACACAGCTTACTTGATTGCCGAGAATCGGCAGTGGAAGAGACACCAATATGATTTACAGATCACTCCAGTTCACACGAAATCCTTGATTTAACCTCAAGAAGAACTGACGTTATTGATTCTGACTTGATGAATAAAACAGTTAGTTTTTCTTTAATCGTCTGCAGTCATAAGCGTATAACATCAAACTAATGTATCGCAACCTTCAAGCGTCTTGAGACGACTTGACCTTCAACCCACTCCATTAGACCCTCCTAGCATTCCAGACCTTGATAGTGTTGTCGCTCTCTACTGTGATCTCCACGGGAAGTGAGGGGAATGTGGATATTGAGCCGGCCATGTGATATCGGAAATGCACTTATAAGGAAAAGGTGTCCAAGTTGCCGTTTTATCCGCCTGTCTTGGCCCACCTGGTTTGGGGGTTCTAAGAGACTTTGACTTTATAGATCTTATGCTGATATATAAGAGGCTATATATCTTTAAATCTACAAAGTCTAGTCCTCTATTACCTCTTCATCTCAGGACCTGTTCTTAATCTGAATATGTCAGAACTAGTAAGGTTGCTTAAATTGTCAATATTCGCTTCTAATCTATATCCTCAATACCCCCCACGTCTCGATCTCAATGACTCGAAGAACTAACAGAAGCCGCTTAAGAATATTGCCGGTTTTTAAATAAGCTCAGACTATCACCTTCGGGATTCTCCCCGATGGCGTTCATCCTTGTACGCTCTTCTACTAGGGTACCCCAAACCATGTTTTCAGCCAACCACTTTGACACATTATGTTGCATGTGATCCGGGGCCCCAGATTCCCCCGCACATTATGGACAGATCAGTGGGGGTTGAGATTTACTTGCAGGTTTAAGCGGCATTCCCTATTGCCCTCTCTTAAGATATAAAGGTGCTTCGCACCTGCGACACTAAAGATCTACAGTTCTTGAATCTAGCATTCTCTAAGTCTAAGTTTCTATTCGAATCTCAATTACCTTAGTTTGAGTTATTAGGTATCATGTCGAAGAACGTTAATGATGGCGATGTCGCCGCTGCTCCTGCAGCTGAGCACGCTGACCACATAGACAACATCACTCCTGTCAAGGAAGCCGATAAAGCAGCTCTGTTCCTTAAGGAAATGTCCGTAACTGGACCGATAATTTTCACGCCCGAGGAAGAACAGGCCGTTCTCCGAAAGATCGACTGGAGAATCCTGCCCCTCATCCTCATAGCATATTTCTTCCAGCAACTCGACAAGTCTACTCTTTCGTACTCGTCTGTTTTTGACATGACCACCGACGCCAATCTCCACGGGACACAGTTTTCATGGCTTGGTTCGTCTCTATACCTTGCCCAGCTGGTCGCCCAGCCTCTTGCTGCCTTGACGCTTGTCAAGTTGCCTACTGGAAAGGTCATCGCGGGTGCTATCTTCCTCTGGGGTTCGTCCCTTTGTATAATGAGTGCTTGCACGACTTTCAAGACGCTTCTGGTTATGCGATTGTTTTTGGGAACCTTCGAGTCTCTTATTGGTATGCTATGTTCCAACCACCAAGCTCATATTATAGGGAGTTTGGGAATTTTGTTGACATGCTTATAGCTCCCTCTCTTATTGCTGTTACACAGATGTGGTGGAAGAGAAATGAACAGACTCTGCGTACCTCGTACTGGAGTGGTATGAACGGATTGACGTTCATAATCGGCAGTCTCTTCACATTCGGACTTGGTCACATCCAGAGCAGCACTCTCTTCTCTTACCAGGTAAGATTCTCCAGAGAAACGAAGATTTCCCACTCACTGAGCCGTAGATAATCTTCCTCTTCTGCGGCCTTCTTACCGTCGCCTACTCAATCCCCGTTTACTTCCTCATGCCCGACTCCCCGATGGAAGCCAAGTTTCTTAGCGATAGAGAAAAGGTTGTCACTATCGAAAGACTCCGATCAAATCAAATGGGTATTGTTTCCCGGCAATGGAAGTGGGAGCATGTGAAGGAATCCATTCTTGATCTCAAGACCTGGTGCTGGTTCTTCCTCGTCATCACCATTTCCATCCCCAGTGGTGGTATTAGCACTTTCGGATCACTCATCGTCAAGTCCTTTGGTTACAACAAGTTCCAGACCATCCTCTTCAACATACCCTTCGGAGCAGTCCAGATGTGCGCCATTATTGGGTCCGGCTGGCTCGCCACCAAACTTGGCCGTAAGGGTCCTATCATTATGCTTCTTTGCATTACTCCCATCGTTGGATGTGTCTTGCTTCTTAAGATCCCCCACACTGATGACAAGAAGGGCATTTTGCTGTTCGCCTACTATATTGCAAGTCCTTCAAGACCCTACCGATCATCGAGAGCATTGTTAACAAGGCTTCTAGATCTCCGTCTACCCCGGAATCACGCCCCTGATCTTTGCTTGGGAGGCCCAAAATACCGCTGGTGATACCAAGAGAAAGGTCACCACTGGTGTCATGTTCGTTGGCCTATGTACTGGCAATGTGAGTGACTTTGACTAACCGCACTTGTTACTGCATATGTTGACCAATCTCACAGGTGATTGGACCTCTCCTCTACAGTACTGACCAAGCTCCCCTTTACCGCAAAGGCCTCATTTCCAACTTGTGCATGTTTATCCTTGTCATAATTCTTACGGCGTAAGTAATTCCATGACACCTGCCTTGCTTACACAGTTAATTGACAGACAAAAGTATCGTAACCCTCTATCTTTTGTTCCTCAATAAGTCCCACGCCCGCAGGCGCTTAGCTCTGGGCAAGTCAGAGGTTATTGTCGATCGATCCATGCTTCAGAGTTCTGTTGCCGCTGAGCTCGACAATAATGAAGAAATGGTGGCACATGATCATGACTTTGAGGATATGACAGACCTCAAGAATGAGGATTTTATCTTTGTGTATTAAGGTTCGAGGATGCCTATCCTTTATTGGGGAACAAATGCCGATAAAGACTTGCTTTTAGTATATTCAGATATTTTCTGGCTCTGATGTTACCTGCCTCAGCTGGCAGGTGGCATGTCACCTGTTTAGAGTGCTCTCGGGTGCAATACCGAGACCTGGAGCTTTTTGAAGCTGATCTACACCGTGTCGAATGATATAAACATTGGGTGACGGCGTATCAAAAGAAGAGTTATGACATATCTAGACACCTCGCGATTGTTGCGAATAGAGTTTCCTTTCCCTTCCTCAACATAACACAAACAAGGCGTCATGCTCCACGCCCAAACACAGCAACAAACTCAATACAAAGTCAACTCATCATACAACTGTATCCACGCACCCTGATAGATACCCAAGTCATCAAGTGACCTTGATGCGCAAGCAGACATCACCTATATAGAAGGAGGGTTTGCCCAGGCAAACTTGTTTCATGCTGCCCAACTCTGTACCATCTCATCTCCAGCATCAGTCACCATGGAGTTCAACATCAACCGCGACTTCAGGATTTTAATGAGAGGCAAACCCAACCGACCGGACGCGGATAACTTTGACAGAGAGAGTGACCGCCCCCGATCCCTTCTTCTAGACAAGGTCATGCAAGGTCGACCCAGGGCATCCAGCTGCAAGCTTCTCCGCCTCCCCGCCGAGATCCTTGCCAAGGTCGTTGACTCGCTAGACGACACGGCATCGCTGGAATCCCTCGCCGAGGTCAACAGTGATTGTCAGCAACTTGCTTGTTGCTCTCATTTTGCACAAGTCACTTTCGATTACAGCCTCGAAGCAAAACGATTTGCATTCGATCTCGTGGAGGACAAGAAGGCTAGATCCATTCGTGGTTTTTGCATCCGCAAAGTTATATGGGCACCTGACCCGCAACATGTCGCGAACAACCATCGAGAGCTCTATGAGGCATTCTACGACGAAGAGGTTGAACCACTCACCGACGAACAAGAACAGGTTCTCTATGATGAGGCGTGTGCGGAGTACGTCGAGGCGCGTGCAGCTACAGTCGAAGCTATCTCATCGTTACCCAATCTTGAGACCCTCGTCTGGAAAGATGAGTTTTCTCTGGATAAGAACTTTTTCGAAAAGATAACGCGCTGCTCGGCGCGACATATCGAGCTGGACAGGCCGGCGATTGATGACGCGTGGTCTTTGACGCCACCTCTTACGCCTTCGACTTGGCCGCTCAGGTCTCTCAAGCTGGACGTTAGTTTGGCACACGACAAATTGAGAGAGATTAAAAATAAAGGCGAGACGGGAACGCATCCGATGACGAGATTTTTCTCGACTTTGTTTCATCTCTGTTCGTCTACCCTCGAGTCTCTGACGTGGACTTATTCGGGAGAAATCAGAGATAAGGACGTCCCTATTTCGATCGGAGAGACAGCTGTGTCATTTCCTCGCCTGCGATACTTGAAGCTCCGATGCGTCAAGCTCGACAGCGTTGCCATATCGTCTTTTCTCACGGCGCACCTCACGTCTCTTGGCTTGGACGAAATGGTACTGACTAATCCCTCGACCTCTACTTGCGAGCCTTTACGAGATCTTGAGGACTTTGCTGTTTCTCATCCGCCAACAGAAGCTCCAGCTTGTGAGCGCATCGCAGAGTTCATCTCGCAGCATACGGGATTGCGCAGACTATATTTCCAAGAGAACCTGGAAGGAATTAAGTATCTGGATAATATCATTCTCCCCACACTCAGCGGCCTTGATTTTGGCAATCTCAAATCTTTATACCTCGCATGGGGAAAAACTCAAATCCCCGACGAGTCCCTCCAAATGATTGCACGACTTGCTTCTCTAGAACAACTGAGTCTCCGTGCTGGAAGACCTTGCGAATGGAAATACTACTGGGATGTAGATCATGACAAGCTCCGTCATCACCTCCGCCCGCTCCAAAGACTCACCAAGCTGGCATTGGCCCACGACACGTATCCCCTTGACGTGGATAGCCTCCCCACCGGATTCTACTACCACTGTCCCATACCACCCGAGTCTGTGGAGAAAGCCAACGCGAGACCCGAGCTTGATAGGGAAGAGATGACTGACGGAGTGGAGGAATACACGACGAGATGGGAGAGGACCCATCGGAACCGTATGCTTGATCAAGCTGAGCAGTACGCTGCCATCTTTCCGAAACTTGCGTGGATGTTTTGTGGGCAGCGGCCGATGGAGTTTGTGAGAGCGTCTGAGGGAAAAAACGGGCTTCCAAAAGCAATACCTTTGACTAAGGAGAGGGACCAGTGTCGTACATATCTAGAGACACTTTTTAAAGCCTCTGACTAGATAGCCAGTGACCTCACAGAAACTATTAATTGATACGATCTTCGAGACTTTTTTCAGGACGCGCTTGGTAATGTTGTTATTCTTTGATATTGAATGAGTTGCTTACAAAGTATGAATCTGCCTTCTTGAGAATCCTGCTACTGGCCCTGAAATTTGTGGCTACCCTAGAAAGAGCGCGTTTCTCTGCTAATGAATGAATAGCCACGAACAGTTCAACAGTGTCTGCCATCTTGTCGATTCAGATAATAATTACAAGATCACCACAGATTCGTTGACACTGAATCAGTACAACTTTTGTCGCAGAAGTGAAGTTGCAGGTATATAGAGTGTATTTCTAGTGTACACCTGGCATGGGCAAATAATCTTAATCATATAATATTGGAGAACATATATGTAAATCAGCGGCGGCTCAGAAAATCGCATCATACAGTCTGTATAGCCAATACATTATATAGCCCGTCCCGTCCATAAGAAGAAACTATGTACTCGCTATAGCGGATTTGTGATTGAACGTGAGTAGAAGTTGTAGAGATACTGGACATTAGAGATAAGCGATAAGATAAGATAAGATAAGAAGATCCAAATCTCCATTGGAGCAACTGTGCTAACAATATTTACGAAAAGAATTGAAGGACGCCAATCTCAATCAGCTCCCAGTCTTGAACTGTTTTGATCAACGTCAAGACGCAGTTGGACATTCTTCAATTGAGATTGCGAACCGGCATGCTGGGCCACCTAAGTCAGCCCCTGCTCATAAATACTGCACTATCTCAGACGAGCACCAGGAATCAATAGTTCTCGGCGCGACATCTCCCGATACAACGTAGCACAAATACGATACTTCAGATCCCGAATCTCCCATCAATCAAGCACATGGGGAATTCGAAATCACAGACCCACGGCATCAAATCTCAAAGAATCCACAGCAACAAGATCCTTCGACAATTCCGACCTATGATTTGCTACCAAAGGATGCAGTCGTTAGCGTGTGCTATACGCCGAGGCTAGAACCCTGCTCAGGACCAGGTAGACGGTTCGAGCAGTCGTACCGAAATCTTGGTACCTGAGCAGTCGATCAGTGGATTCAGGGATCCATGGTGAAGAATCTGGGCCGCGAGATCTACTTCGAAAAGAGGGGTGGTAGGGAGGCCTATCTCTAGACTATATATTGTATGTCACTGGTCCTCGGAGGTAGACGTTTCCAGTTGGACCGGGGCGTTAGTTCCGCGACTATCCAACAGCGTACTAGGTATCTGCAAACAGCTATCTTACCTTAGCCTACAAAGATACCCAATGTCAGGTGAGCAAAGTCACATGCTGATCAAGTCAGCCCATCTCCCGGCGATTCGCGATGTAACACCAACAGCCCTCACCTATCGCTGATCACCCTCCGGTAACACACGTTCCCGAACATCGGGTCCCAAGATGCACAAAGTAAAAAGTCCGGGGCAGTACGGAAGTCAAAGCGCAGCAAGGGTCCTCTGCGAGATTTACTTCCTCGGGAGGCGAAAAAAAAGAGAAACTTGCAATGGAGACTAGCGGAGTTTTGTATCTCCCCGGTGGAAACTAATGCACCTAGACCTTAGTGTGAACTCTGTTGATGGGCAAAAGCCACGAGATGGAATGTCTGCCACGTTTTTGTCTCAAGGGAGAAGGTCGTTAAACCAGCCCTACAGAAACAGAGTAGAATAGCGGTTTGAATTGAGGATGCCACGTTTTTGTGACAGTTTGGCTTGGGGGATGTTGTGCCGGTTTTGCAGGCTGAGGAAGGGAATGTTATCAGCCACTGCACTAGACTACCGTGGCTAGCGTGGGTTAGAGTCTATCGACATAGACGAGTCATGAGGGATCCATTCTCATCGCGCCGCAAGATTAGATTGAGGGCGACTCAACACCAAGAGCGCCACTGTATACGATGAATAGTGTCTTTTTCTCAGCATCAGTTCTGGTGTCGACAGTATCTGACTCAATGATGCTTGATACACGTGGGCATAATCTCCTTAGTTGTGATGCCCCTCAGAACGCCGACGAGAGCCAGACTGCTAAGGAGGCTGAAAGCGCAAAGGCCTGCCGTAAAGAACACACTCAAAAGCGGCATACGTGTTCGCATTGAAGAACTCAATCTCTTAATATTATCAACAGCATAAAACTTCGTCACACCCTTCATCAACTCTCCCAGCATTGACTCGCGATGATCTCTACAGACGCCGCAATTCTTCGGATCGTGCCAAGTTCACCGTTCTCGCTACCCCGCATCCTCGGCATTTCCTCCGCCGAGATCCAAAACGACACTCTGCCTAACAATACTTGTTCCAGTTAGAACCCCAATCTCATCAAAATCACAGGGGATGGTGCACTGTTGACTCGTGCTGGGAAAAAACAAGGCAAACAGGTACGATTACTAAACAAATACTGGGTATCAAGGCGCCAGCGTGTTAGCGTCGTCTCATAAAATTATAACGCTCAGATACAAAATGCCCGTGAGTAAAAAGTATATTCTATTCAGCAATTTGTGCTGTGCTTCGATCCTTTGGAATGCTTGGCTGAATCAAACCGTTGGGCGAACAGACGGTGGGAGATCTACGGCGGGACATCGCGAGCATCTTGATCATAAATGACAGAAAAGAAATACCAAGACACTAGAAAAAGCCAATCTAAAATATAAGGGGGTAACAGAAAAAAGGATCCACGATTCCCATTGATCTGCAGCAGCTGTGAGTTGGAGTAAGCTTAGCGGGGTACCCAATGACTCGGTCAATTTTACACCGACAAGGCTTCAGGGGATTGGAGCCCAATGCGATAAACAAGGCGGCCGATTTGCGAATATCTGAGTTTGTGGGCAAGGATTTGGGCCTGAAACTGTGGTGATGTGCTTTTTGACGCTTAGACTGCAGAGAAGCGACAGTCTTCCATCATCTGGGGTACAGCAATGTCTCACTGATACCCTCATAATGTAAAGACACTTTGTCTTATTGCTCATGTAAACACTCTTGGCACTCGATATGTCCATTGAAGCCAGAAATATCCATCCTCATGATTCAGGGTTCATCCATGAACATACTTTCTTAGCTGTTTGTCCATCTCATTTGGCCTCCCAGTCTAGCTCCCCAGCCTAGTCTCGGGGCGACAGAAATACGAGAGACCATTCCAACCACTCACGACACACTACGATGAAACCAGATTTGCTCATCCTTTTATTCTGTCCCCCGCCGTGTTCGGCATCTAACTAGCTCCTCACGCCGTTAGGTCCCAACGCAAGCCACTTCAGCCTCCAATGGTGATCGGCAGTAGAGCTAAAACAGGGGGCTTTTCGTAGCTAGTCAGTTTACTACCGAGACTACTGCATCTGCTGCAGATTCTGCAAGCCTGTTTCTTAAATCCAAGCAAGGAGCCTGTTCCCTTTTCTTTTTTCCACATTCCTTTTTCAGCTGTGGCATTATCCGTTTACAGCAGCTGTTATATCCTCCTCTCTTTTGTCTTTTGTTGGTTCGACGTCAAGATGACAGGAAGAGGCTTCCTCGTCCCCGACAACTATGTCGACGATCTTCCCAATGAGACTGACATGAACATCGCCTCCATCGCCTGGGGCTTGTCGCTGGGCATCACGCTCTTTAACATCGCAAAGGCGATTCGACAGACGAGATCTGCGTGGAATCGAAGGAAGAGGGTCACCAGTTACATTGCGTTGGTTTGGGCCGAGATCATCTCGAGTTTTATCTTGGGTGTTATGTGTTGGTTTTATCTTCGGGGTGATATTGAGCCGAGCATGCAGTTTTTCTTCTTCATCAGTAAGACCACCAAATGCCTAGGGAGACGAGAGTATGTGCTAACAGTGATAGTCGTCTGGTGGTCAACGCAAGTCCAGTGTCTTATCCAAATCATCATCAACCGAGTTTCGCTATTGATGGTTGTTCGATCCAACGGTACCAAGCTTAAATGGCTCTGCTTCCTTATCCTTCTGGCTATCAACATCAGCGTGTTCTGCATCTGGGTCCCCGCTCGATTGCAGATTAGCGAGGGCTATATCCACCTGAACAACATCTGGGATCGATGCGAGAAGGTCATTTTCGGTATTATGGATGCTGCTCTGAACTTCTACTTCATCTATGTCGTCAAGCAGCGACTTGTTGCCAACGGTCTACATAAGTATACCCGTCTGTATCAGATGAACATATTTTTGTGTGCTATCTCCATCGCTTTGGATGTACTCCTCATCTGCATGATGTCTCTGCCCAACGGCTTTGTGTAAGTCCAACACCAGCCGAGAGTGTTTACCTATACTGACTTCCTCCAGTTACATTCAGTTCCATCCCCTTGTCTACCTTCTCAAGCTTCACATCGAGATGAACATGGCCGATCTGATTGGCAAGGTCGTCCGCGCCGGTAACAACGATCAACGCGGCGGCCACGACTATTCCTCACGATCGCGAACGACAGGAACATCGCGGCCTCACGGCACACGATTTGGTCAGACTCTGGCCAGCGCGCATCACCGAACACATATTGAGCTCGGCGAGGAGGATGAGTATGAGCTCAAGGAGCGTGAGAAGATTGAGGGTATCAAGAAGACTGTCGTCACGCAGATTGTGCATCAGAATCAACAGCAGGATGATGATAGTGAATCTACTGCCGAGGAGCATAACGATCGTGCTGTTAGCGAGGCCAGCTCGACTAAGCATTTGCATCAGCGGAATCATAGCGGTGTTTAGACCAGGGCATTTCAAGTAGAGGAATGATACATGCGAGGGATATACCCAATAGAATATTTATATAGATTTTTTTTAATGTTAATGAATGGCTAAAGGCTTATTGATCTTCACGTCTGTTCACAGTTATTGTCTCTTGATGCCTTGACATGATGCAATTGATGAGCAAATGTACTGTTCATACCTTTTGAGCCGTGACTTTTGATGAAGATAATGGAATCACTTGGTGGAGGTGACCTCGCGGATTATTCCGACCCCGCCGAGGTAACCGTAGCACCCGAAAGCTTCGCCGAACGATTCAAGCCACATTCATCCTAAAAATCAATAAATCCAGCTAATCTAGTCAGGACGTTGCAGGATTCTAGGCAACCAGACTAAAAACCCTCCTCGGGGGGAAATAAAACACAGACCTCAAGACTGACCATGCTAAAAGGATATTTACTAAATTACTTAGTATAATATAAGAAATAAAATATAAGAATATTACTATTAAATAAAGAAAATCTTATTAATTATTCTTACTTATATATATTTTAAAGGGTATTTTTATTTTATTTTCTTAATTAGAATAAAAATAATCCTACTTAAGTACTTGGGGTCTGTGTTTTATTTCGCCCCCCTAGACCCTTTAAATGAAACAGGGTCTACCCATCATGACTCTCGCCGCGCGTCCCGTGATCAACGCTCCTAATAACTCAATTCAAGCCGGC